GAAGTGGAAATACTTTAATGGGTTTTAGTAGGGATTTAAAGTCTCCCAACAACAAGGTAAGGCACATTTATTTTCATAGTACACGTCATACATGTTGAAGATAACACATACAATAAAACAATCATAAAGAGCATATGAAAATAAAAGATAAGAATTTAAATTAGATCAGCTAAAAGAACATATAGAGTGCATTACATGGCTACACTTGGTGCACCTATTATACATTCATAGTTTTGATTCCAGACCTGAGCAGCACAGAGGCTAAAATCTGCTTCACCATGTTTAGTTCTGTCAGTAGTTATTACCAACAACCAATTTCTCTCCAGTAATCTAAGAGGCCTAGCAAGTGTCTTGAGGATTTAAGTTACGGTATGTGGTCGGTTATTTGGTTTAAGTTAGACCTCTAGCAGCTGCATTTTGAACAAGCTGAAATAAAATCCTAAATAATGTTTTGACATGAGGCCTCTGAGTTTGGCTACATTTTAAGATGATCAAAATCTTACTTGCTTTTACATTTTGTTGTAACTGACAGTAAACAAATACAACAATTAATCATTCATTTTAAGTTAGCAACTTGACGTTTTAGAAATTCATTTAAAAAAAAGATGACACCGAGGCGAGGACTCTTTGTATCTAAATGTAGATGATGGAAGACAATACTATTGCAGCAAGTTGAATTATCTAGTGCAGCTTTTTTTTTTTATGGTGCACTCACACAGTGATACAAAATTGTTCATTTCAGTTTTTCCATTTTGGTGTGCCAGGAAAACTTCCTGCCAGAATCCATATACACATCTGGGTAAGTAGGGTACACCTACAGGGTCTCAATTAGTAAAGTAGAGACACTCCTTTATGTTGTTCCTGTTAGGTCAGTTTGAAGTTCAGACCATCAAAAGAGTTTAACTTTTAGGAAACACAGTGTTAAAAGAGCTGGGCTCTCATGCTCAGCAAACAATATTGAAAGAAAATTAATAGTTCATTTATTTGGAACTATTTTCAGTTTTGAATTAATACACGTTTTTAGCATTATAGTGAGAATTAATTTCAACACAATGGTGTATGTGACCCTGACACATCAGGTGGTCCCTTTTTTTTATATAACCACCATAGAAGGTTTCCTTGGAAAGAGGCATGCACTTTCAAAAACAATGTCAATCAAACTCTTACCAAAGCCACTTGGGATAAAAGAAAAACATATTCATTCTTCAAAAAAGTGCTTTTCTTTGCTCTTCTTTCAATCAATAAAATACACCCAGTTATAATGCTATTGCAGCATATTTGCTTACCTCTTTAGGAACCACCTTTGTTTGAACAAACATCATTTTAATGTCACTCTGCACACACCTAAACCATGCCCAGCTGCTGGTAGGTCCTCACATGCACAGGACATATTTGGTGCTTTATAAAATCTCATCTAATTTCTTGTATGACTATGAATAAGAATCCAGCTGCCATGTTGGATTCATTCAAAAATATCCTAACCCTAACACCAACTACAGTGGCTGAGTTCTTGGTAAAAAAACAACCACATGACCCATTGCAACAATTGTGTTTTTAGGAGTACTTCTTTGGATGATCAATGTATTGTTTGTTTTTTTATTTCATACAATGTGTTGATAATAAGAAAATATATATATTTCAAGAATGATCCTTTAAACCACATAAGCAGAGGAGGGAATCCAATCTAAAACAAGCCCATATTTAAACACTGATTGTTTAAATTGTTATTGTTGTGTTTTTCAAATGGGAACATCTCACATCCAAAGTTATCTTTTTGACATGTAGTACCTGTCTCCAACATATCCCAAGTGGATTTGAAAGAAGCACTTCAGTTGCAGGATGCAGACAGCCATATCAGTTGGAGGTATAATGGCAGTAAATTAGCTTTTCTGACAAAGTGTTGCAGTAACAGCTCTTTGCCTCTCTCACATGTTGATGATAAAACAGATGACACACCCTGTGGTGAATGGGCCCTGTGAAGCTCTTGCTAAATGTCAAAGGTGCTAATATTTTGACAAGCCTTTATCTTTTTCGTGTTTGAAAGCATTCATTTGTCATTACCTTTGTTCTTTTAACAAGATGGAAGGCGCATCAGCAGACACCCTTTTTTTTTGTATCCACCACCTTAAGAAAAGAGAACAAAAAAAATGAGCGTGTGTTGATTCTAATTAGAGCACACTTGAAATTCAAAGCACTCACACACATGCTTTAGGCTTGATCTAACTTGGAATGGAATAAAATATCAAAATATAGTGGGGGTGTGCTGTAGGTCGAGGTTATGCACAACGGAAATAAGCTTTAGCGCATATGATAGACAAAATGGCTGACATGTTTGAGAGCATTTAAACATTGTGTGACTCTAATAGGACTCTGTATCAGCCCGTCACATTTTTTCCAACACTTACATCCCCTGTTTATTTCTATTAGGCAGCCATAAATGGATAATTGCACTCACTATCTGTCTTTCTGTATATGCACACACTCTCTTGTTTCTCTCAGGTGTGTTTGGTCAGGAAATAAAAAGGAGTTATTTGCAGGGCCCATAAGTAATACATCTTTCAGAGATTTAATATTGCCACATGAGACGGAGCGACAGTCTGACAATCGACCAATGTTGTATTGCACTTCATGAATAATCATGACTCGCTCCGTGGTTAGCATGCAAATGGACCTGAAGCTGCACCAGGCCTTGGGGGTCCAAAAAAGAAAAATACAGCGCTATGAGATCATATGCCAGGTGTATTCTGCATGCCTGGATTGTATTCATGAACACAGAGCATCTAAATAATTTAAATAAGTTCCCTGCTTTGGATTTAGATTGGCTAAGGTGTTTATTATTCAGCATCATTAGACACGTGGTGGAATTCCATTTCGTACAGTGTTCAGCAGTGAGGACGGATCTAGGCTTCCTCACATTGCTTTGCCAGACCGTGATAATCAAAAAGCAGATGCTCAGCTTCAGGAAGGTGTGTGTGTGTGTGTGTGTGTGTGTGTGTGTGTGTGTGTGTGTGTGTGTGTGTGTGTGTGTGTGTGTGTGTGTGTGTGTGTGTGTGTGTGTGTGTGTGTGTGTGTGTGTGTGTGTGTTAAATGTGTATGGTTATATATGTAAATGTCTATGTTTCCGTTTGCCCGTGCGAATATATACTTGTTATGTGTACCTAGTGTTTTGTTTGTGCCTGATGTCACCTGCAGCCCACATTCATCAATCTGTTTTATCAACCTCATTGTGGGTCACAAAGTCTATGTAAAAGGCTCTACAGAGTGCTAGAATCACCACGAGTGCTCCAGCAGTCAGTGAGGGGTTTTACATTAGATGCCTCTTCTGATTTTCTTTTCAATGAAACCAGGTAATGTGACAGGTATCCTTTCAGTGTGTTGTGCAGCTCGGCAAACCTGTTGATGCTTTGGCTAGGTATAAAAGTACACTTGATGAACGGTGAACAGTTGTTTTTCTGGAGGGAATTTGTATTCTTTGACCCGTCCTTCCAAACATTTCCTTGAGCAAACTGAAGAGGTTGTCGACAGTCTCAAGGGACCATGGCTCATCTCCCCCCGTGAGGCCCCTCACCCTCTGAGAGACTCTGTGTTATGTCCATCACACTGCATGCTGCCCTAATCAAAGGTGGTGACGTAGGAGGCCAACTGTCACTGTTGGAGCAAATCCCAGAAATCAGCCATCATCTTCCCCAGCCATATGCCTTGCTAGCTCTATATGACACCAGCATTTAAAAATACCTTTTCCGTTGGTGTGTGGGTGGTAAAAAGATAGTGCTTCACACTGCCATGCCAAAACTAGCCAGTTAAATGCTATCCATCTACAAAATGAGATGTAACACTTCACCATTTCAAACTGCTCTCAGCATGCCTTTCGTATGTTAATATTTGGACGGTTTCCATTTTATTTTTGAAGATTTTCTGGACAAATAGACTGGATAATGTAAAACAAGAAGTCATCTAGTGGTGCTACAATCTAAATATCCGCTCTTTCAATTTCCATTTCATGCAATTAAAATGCTTTCGCTTCATTTTACGAAAGTAGTCGCAGACATAATACACACCACATGGGCAACACTACATGGTCAGTCCTATTGACAGCTATGACAGTGCAACTCCTCTTCCATTAGTCTGATGCAGGCTTGTAGTCAATGGTCGCCTAAGAAAAGGCTGTGCTTCATTAGCCACAGTGGACACTTTGTTGCCAGATTAATAGCTAAATACTGAGGCAATTTGTCAGTTTATTTATTTATCCTTTAGTTTAACTCCAGTGTGATTTATATTAAAAGTTCAAATCAAATGAATTGAAGCCCTCCTGTGGAGGACTTGGAGACTCATAATGGATAGGATGCCCTTAGCTTGATTCTCATTTCATGTGCTGCTCAGTTCGTTTGTCCAACATATGGAAGTGCACAGCATTTGGAGCTATCTTCTACGGGACTGTTAATCATCTCAAGTCGTGCAGAACCTGCTTATATGGGCCTAATGCAGTAAACTGTGCTGTAAAACCGTAATGAAATGACTTACCTTTTTATAATATTATGCAAATCACTCATTTTATCTCGACGCTACACACACACTGGGCAATCACCGGCTCCTCACAACCTCAGAATATTACAATCTGCCCGCTCCCTCACTCACTTGCGCCCCATTGTTTTAGATGACCCAAATGAAAGCCATCTGGGACCGCCGTCCACACCAAGACAAGGGAATTAGCCCTGTGAGTGTCCCTTATCTCACTGCCTCTGCACTCCACCCGGCGCACTCCCATTCTCCTCTAGTAATGAGTATCCACCCAATTTAGTTATGTTTCTCTCCAAGGGGGAATAAATCTAGCACAGTCCTTTGGATGAAAGAACCTGCAGGTCCCTCGCCTCTCGCCCCATGACCTTAATTGACAGGAAATTGTATTTGTCTCTCTCCCTCTGTGGCAAAACAGGTGTCCAGTAGGATTTGCTCTCTCGGCTCAGTACAATGACCTCCCTTTGTCTTTTTTATTTCTCTTTTCAGCTGCTCCAAAGGGCCCTAAAATCTTCATGACCCCCACCAGAGCAAAGGTGGGGGACACGGTGCGCATCACAGTGCAAGGATTCCAGGTAGGATCGCCTGGGGTAAGTGCATGGGGGTTTGAAAAATCAATGGCTTGTCAATATGTGCATGTTAGCATGTTTGTGTTTTCTCCTGAGTGACCACTATGTTGGGCATACACATTTTTTTCCCTCTGTCTTTTTTTCCAAATTTGAATTCACCTTATTGCATTGAGGACAGGTATACAGGCTGTTAAATAAAGAAACGTTTATTTTTCAGGCTGTGTTACATGTCTTCTAAAAGTTTTTGCAAAAATAAATAAGAATCAGAAAAATCCTTTATTCGTTCCTCAGTGGGGAAACTTGTAATGTTACCAGTAGTGTAAAGTAAATAAGTACATTTACTCAAGTACAGTACTTAAGTAGCATTTTGAGATACTTGTACTTTACTTGAGTATTTAAATGTTTTGCTACTTAATACTTCTGCCCCTTTTCAATTCAGAGGTAAATCGTTTACTTTTATTCCACTGCATTTATTTAATACCTTTAGTTACTTTACAGTTTTGGATTAATGATGTGAAAAACAAACAACTCTTAAATCAGACTTTAGTTCCACCTGGAGTAAATTCAGAAGCTACCCTGCAGTATACAAAGTCATTAAGACTAGCTGCACCTTTACCAACTTTGATAACATTTTAATACATCAATAATTATAATCAAAACATTTAATATATATTATTTTGAAATGGGCAAATCTGCCGTTACTACTTTTACTTTTGGTAATTTTAGTATATTTTTGTAGCTAATACTTTTCTACTTATACTTGAGTAACATTTTGAATGCAGGACTTTTACTTGTAACAGAGTATTCCTAAACTCTGGTACTCCTACTTTTACTTAAGTACAAGATCTGAGTACTTTTTCCACCTCTGATTTTTACAGCAAATGGATAGTTCAGATAAATCTGTAAAAAAAATTGGCTGACATTAATTAAAGAAGACAAACACCCATTAAAAAATGTAATTGGTACACATTCATGGTAAAAAAAAATGTCTATCAGTCTTAACCAACAGGCAGCCATGCTATGGAAGTTGGTGTAATTTTGTGGATTTCCACTTCCTGCACTATAATCCCAAAGAAAGGGCTACAGGTTATTGTTTTGTGTCCCTTTCATCCCCGTCATGTCCCCGTCATGTCCCCACTGGGAATGGCCTTTGGACGGGGCTGATCTCTTTGACAGGATTGACACATCGAAACCATCCAGCTGGAGTCAGTCAAGTGAAAATGAAAGGGCTGATCCTGAGAAAGGACCTGTTAATGGCCCAAAGTACAAATTGCTTTTGCTACATCTCGGCTCCTGGAATTTCAAGGAATCATAAGTCAGATGTGTTGTTTGATTTTATTTCACTTTTTCAGACATTTCCATGTTCAATCAATCAATCAATCAATGTTTATTTATATAACCCAATATCACAAATGTTACATTTGTCTCAGTGGACTTCACAGTTTGTACAGAATATCAGTATGACAATTAGACGACACCCTCTGTCCTTAGACCCTCACATTGTACAAGGAAAAACTTCCAGAGAAAACCCACAGTTTAAAGGGAAAAATGGGAGAAACCTCAGGGAGAGCAACAGAGGAGGGATCCCTCTCCCAGGACGGACAGACGTGCAATAGATGCCGTGTGTTAAATTAATGTTCTGTATTGTTTTTGGTCTAGTGCACCAAGACCGGCGAGATCTTTACATGAGTTTATGTCTGCCAAACGACCTCAGGATTTGTTTAACTTTTTTTCTTGGAACAGTGTTAACATTGGTTATTATACACAGGCTTTACTGTGGCAAGCAGCCAGACGGGCCCTTTGGCTGCATAGGCGCAGCACTGATCAGAAAGCAAATTTCCCTTATCCACTGAAACTGAGCTCCAGGGTTTCACAAGTAGATAACATTGTGTGTCAAGACTGGTAATTCTGCCTACTAACTTTCTGAAAAAATAAGATGCCAGTATCACCTCGGGTTTGATGTTTGAGGAATACATTAGTGAAGCATATCCTACAGTGGGGATTTTAGTTGTATTCTCTTATTTTTCAAATTATTTTATGTATTGGATTTAATAGGACATTGATGGTTTCAGGAGCCGAGTGTCCTCTTGTATCTGGACTCTATGCTCTTGGGGTCATGTGACAGAAAGATCTCACCTAAACCCTTTTGTATGTTTTTGTTATCGCAATGTGACCTTTTCCCAAGAGCCTGACTAAGTCTACTCGCTCATTTAACCTGACCTTGGAGAACGGTTTTATTAAAATGTATTTTAAAAGGTTAGACAATTGTAATCCACGACAGCAGGTCACTTACCTGTCATGGGCACTTATACAAGAAACATGATAAGAGCACTGTGTCTGAACTCTGTGATTCGTTTGGGAATGAGAGAATGATATCATTTTAATTTAAGTGCACGCATTCTTGCTTTAGGGTATGATTCCAAAACGTGAGCTTTTTGAATCAATCAACTTAATATCCTGTTTGTCACTAAGGTGACACTTCAGATCACTAGATGAAAACATGTCTTCTTTTGTTGTGCCGTTTGGCAAGTTCTCTATTTTCTGTGCAGCAAGGCCGTAGTGCTCGAAACCCTGTTCTGCACTAAAAGCCTGAATGTATTCCGGGGACTTTTATTCCATCATTGAATCAAATTAATGGAAAACAAGATATATTGTGCGTGTCTGTATACTGTGTGTGTGTGTGTGTGTGTGTGTGTGTGTGTGTGTGTGTGTGTTGTGTGTGTGTGTGTGTGTGTGTGTGTGTGTGTGTGTGTGTGTGTGTGTGTGTGTGTGTGTGTGTGTGTGTGTGTGTTAACCTTGTACATTTGATCTAATTGTATGCAAGAGTTGCAAGTGTGTGTTACAAGTTAATGCTCAGCACTGCCCCTGTAGGCATTTTAATGAATGTCTCACTAACTAACTATCATTGTTTTTTTTTTTCAAACTCCTCTATAGTGTGAATGGCATGAATTGACACAGTTTTATGGATTTTTTCTAAATATATTTTGTATAAAGGTTAAGATGACATTGGCCAGTTTGCAAGTCCCATCTTGGCATTGTTACAAATATTATTTTTAAATCAAATAATTAAATCAAATTTTAAAGGCAGACATGTTCTTATATTATATTAAAGAACATCGAAATAATTAGAAATATTATTCTACAATTGGTCAGTTTAGAACTATAGTCCCTTGGTGTGTGTTTGTGTCACGTGTGAATGCATGTCAGTCATGGAAGGATTATGGTGTAAAAAAGGTTTTTAAAAAGCAGCAGAGCCTTAAACCTCAACCAGAGGTGGAATGGTACAAGAGATTCGCCCTCTTACTGTGTCCTCCTATTATCTATGAACATGTCAACCCACGGATAAGACTGAAATACTGCTTTATGGAGGGCTATATTTTATAATTGGAACTAGGCGGGTTGTTCTAGAGGGCTAAAAAATGTGTGGAGAAAAACTGTTGTAAAGTGAAGAGTTGATTATTAATGCATGTTGTTAACTTGCCATTGCATTAGGGGAAAAATTGGTGCTTGTATTATTCATGTTTCCTTTGCTCTTAATCTCTTGGCTGAGGCTCACAGACTTTCTCTGCACATCCCATCCTTTCCCTCTATCTTTTTGTTTCTCTCTTTCCTTTAATTCTCTTCATACCATGTGGGGGCTTGGTGTTGATAGAATGAAGTGTTCCCCGAGCCTCTCTATACCTGGACACGAGTGGGGGGCCGCCTGCTTGATGGCAGCGCCGAGCGAGATGGGAAGGAACTGATTCTGGAGAGAGTGCCAGCCGAGCTCAACGGCTCCATGTATCGCTGCACGGCCCAGAATCCTCTGGGCTCCACGGATACGCACACTCGCCTCATAGTCTTTGGTACGTACGCTCATTTCAGCAACATGCCCTGGCCCTGATCTGGAGTGGCTACTACACTAGCAGTTAAACCGAAATCACATTTAAGTTTGATTAATTATTTAGAACAAGATGAATATGAAACATTTTTTTCCCTCTGACTGTACAACTTGGTTCCATGAGAATTTCTGAACGAGTTACACAATAACATCGTTTAATGTCACAGAAAAGGACATATTTCTACAAAATGCATTTCATGTATCTAGAGTATCTTTGAAAAATACTTAGGAGAATTATGTGACCGCTTTTAGGTATGAATCATTAATGTAGCTAAGTGTGTGATTAATAAGAGATTGTATTCTTAATTTGCTCAACAACACATTCTTTTTAAGGCAGCACTTAGTGAGGGAAACTATTCTCTAGCAAGGGATTTGGTCACTGTTCCATCATGTTATATCTTGTACTGCTTTCACTTAAACACCAGCAGCCAACACTGCATCAAAGGCCCATGATGAAATCAAAGGACCTTTGTTGTTGACAGTGTTGGAGAAGCACTTTGTTTAATGGCCAAATCGAGGCAACATGTTCATCGGAACCAGATAGTAGTTCATTTGCTGGTGCTGGTGTGGGAGCTGGATTGCTTACGGGCTCTATTATCTCTGTGTGTTTTGCTCCTCTGGACCTGTTTACTCTAGACAATCTCAGAAGAACTGTCTGGATCTACCTTTCTGAGTCTCTTAATAAAGACTTATCGAAAAAGGTTTACTATAAATAGTGTTTCCTGTTGAGATGTAAATGCAATTTGAGTTATGAGTCTCATGGTTGAATAAGCCCGAATGTCACTGTCCGTAAATGTCCCAATAGACGGCTGTGGCTCAGGGGACAAGTGGGCGTTAACCAATTGATTTGGTTTGAATTGCAAGATACTTAACCCCAAATGCTCCCATAGGCATGTCCACAGTATTGAAGTGTATGTTAGTGGCTTTGGATAAATGCGTCAGCTAAATGACATGTAAGTAAATATTAATCAAACAACTTCAATCTGATTAGAATGACTTCAGATTAACACACAGTGTTAAAGGGGCCCTATAATGCTTTTGGCGGTTTTTCCCGTAATGTTTTATTTAGTTTTGTGTGCATGTAAATGGTCTGCAAAGGCTGAAATCCCAAAGTTTCTCACCCACACACTCCCCCCCCCCTTTCCCCTGTCTGAAACGCCTCCATTTGACTCCTTTGTTTACTTCTGTGACATAGTTTTTTAATTTTTTTAATTAACCTTTATTTAACCAGATGAAAGCATTGAGATAGAATCTCATTTGCAATGCTGACCTGGCTAAGAAGGCAGCGACGTTACACATAACACATAACACAAACATATAAAATACAGAGAACATAACTAAGAAAACAAAAGAGGAAAAAGCAGTTACTACATTGTGCACATTAGGACAGTAAGAAAGGCACTACTTATTACTGCAAGAGCAGCTGGTGGTAAGGACTTCTGACAACTTCAATTTAAAACATGCTATTGAGACAAGTGCCGTCAGTTTGAGGCGTGATTGAAGGTCATTCCAAGACCAAGGACCATAATAAAAAAGACTCCTTTTCCCAGCCTCAGTCCGCACAGCAGGAACCTAGAACCGTATCCAGGCACTGGATCTGAGGTTGTAAGATGCAGATGTCATTACATGTTGATGTAGTGACATCAACATGTAATGATCGGATTCTATTGGCTAGTGCTCCAACACATTGGACATGATATGCTTAGGGGCAGGACATTTCCTACACATGTCTAAGCGATTGTCTCATCACAACAGAGCCGGCCAGCTAACCAATCAGAGCAGACTGGTCTCTGGTTTCAGACAGAGGGTGACAAGAGGTGCTGCAGCACAGGCAGTATGAAAAAAATAAAAACCTTTTTGAATATTAAAGCATGTAAACATGTCACAGTAGAGGCACAACATACAAATGTGAAACTCAAAGATTTGCATAAAATGTCATCTTTAAATATGCAGACAGTATTTGCATCAATGAGGCATCAGATGCCTTTATGCATCTAATAAATTATGCTATTAAAGTATATTAAGGGGATTACACAAGTGAAAAATAGGAGCAGGCCTGCCTAGCACTCACAAAGATCAATAAGGACCATTGATGCAGCTTGTAGGAGAACAGAGAACACTTCTTCCTTGATGTAATGTATTTCCCCCCATTGTCCCTTAGCGGTACTAATTCCTTTCTGCATACCAGAAGCAAAATATCGTGCATGCATTGCAGCTCTATCCATAATGGCTCTGCCATGTTGGAATAAAGCCATTACAATACATGTACGTAACAGAGATCTTTGAAAGCCCATAAGACATTGCTATAGATAGAGAAATCAATGTTACACATTCCATGCTGAACAGGGCTTTTGACACATGTACTCTACAGAAGTCAAGTCACGTACAAGAAACATGAGAAATATGTTTTTTATACAGAAATGTGTTGCATGCACTTCAGCCCTGAAGTGCCCCATTAACAACACAATTTTTTCAAGTTCATCGAGTCTGAACCAAAGAATATTATATCCATACATTTTTTTAATCCTCTGCCCAAAACACTCCTGCGAACAGGGTTTAAAGTAAATCACAAATATACAAATGACTAGGCGGGCCTAATAAGAACCTCCTTATAGGGGGGAAAGTGCCACTTTAGGGAGGCGTTACCTTGGAAGGAGTTTTGCTAGGAAAAGCACTAATGTCTATTTAACACCCCGGTGCACCCTCAGGTGTCATCGGCTACGTGCCTTGTATGGCCCATCTGTCTGCTTGCTCCTTGTAGATTGCTTCCCCTCACGCTTAGGGGAAGTAAATGGTGATTAAGTGACCTTGGCACCGTCCCCCGTGGCCTTGAGATGAGACACTTCTCTCTCTGCCGGGGGGGGGGGCGCTGAGAGATAGAGGTATTTGGGAGCCCTGCTCGCTTGGCAAAGCGTTCAATATAAATCATCAGGAATAATAGAGTATAATAACGGCTTGGTAGAGACTCTCCACTGACGACGTGTAGCGCTCACGTCTTGATGATGCACATCTTTAGCCACCCTCAGTGATAATACCCTCTGAGATTACTGTGCGAGTCAGCACTGACAAGCCGGGCAGTGACACACACACAGGCAGAAAACTGAACACACATGCAGAAACACACAAATATATATGCTTATGCAAATGTGCAGCGACAAGCAAACACGAGCGTGCAAATGTAGAGTGCCCACACTCATTTCCTCCCAGAGGAGCTGCTAGGTTCATGTTGTTGCAGTGAGACCAGCAGAGTTTGGGCTATATATTTAGCTTCCACCTGCTCATATATGAAGTAAAAAAACATCTAAAAAAGAACAACATTAAGCTTGTTGCTAGCGCTCTGCAAACCCTCCTACTGCTTCCTTTGCAATTACCAGAGAACTTTACACAATTGCATGGTCAGAGTGTGTTGTGCAGGCTAGACATTGGCACTGCTTATTAAAGGTGGAGTCGAATCCTCCAAAGCTCTCTCCCAGACTGTCAGGTCACAGCTGTAGTTTCCTGATCTCTCTGCTGCTAAAAGTGTCCTGGTTGTTCTGGTGTAGCGCTCTGTGTTCCCAGTTCCATTAACAAGCCCCGTGCTTGTCACTGGGGATGTGCTGTTTAACATGCGCTTCAGGAACATTAGAGTTCTGCTTCGTCGATGACTCTATTTTCTCTTTCTCCCTGTTTCTGATCTTTGTCTTTGTTTCCTTTTTTTCCAACAGAAAATCCAAGCATGATGAAAAACACACAGAATCAGAATAGTAAGTATTACATCCACAAACATCACTAGTTTGTTTTTTTTGCTTTGTTTTTTTATTTCAGATTCAGCTTCACTACAAGGATATTTAGTACACTTTGTATACTTCTTTATTTATTTATTTTTCATCTACACAGTCCATACACATATAGATAACAAGTAAATCAATCGAATGGAGATTTAGTTAAAAAGTAAATAAGATTGAGATTTGTTTAAAAATAGATAAATAAAAATGGATATTATTTAAAAAATAAATACATTGAGATTTCATTTTAAACTAATAAATGAATAAACCAATAAATTAACAAATAAATACATACAAAATCAAATAAATAAATAAATGGAGTTCTCTCTAAAAATAGATAAACCAAAAATAAACAAATAAATACATTACAAATCTAGTTAATTAATTAAATACATTTGTTTTGATAAATAACAGGTAATAAGGTGGAAGAGCACCAATGTGTGAATGTGCGAGCCATTTCCATCAAATACCTTGTTGGAAAGTTGGGCGTACTGGAATCTCTGAATTACTATCTTTTAAGGGTGTTTTATCGTTATAATGCATCATATGTGTGTTGCTGTTTGGCTTGATTTACATATTACTAGAACTGCTGTTTGTAATAAGAGAACACCATGAGACACGTCAGTTTGTTCACTCAGAGAATGTGTGCACAAAAGGTATTACTGTTTAGAGAACCAAATCTTTTGAGAGACTGTGGTTTCAACATTCAAAGTATTGACAGGGTGATGTTTGCCGCTCTGTTGTGAATGCATGTTCCCACGTATACTGCGTGAGAGTGATTCATTCAGGCTTAATCTTCGGCGATGTTCAGCAGCAGCAAGCAACAAGCCTCTCCCAATGACTAACCGAGCCTGTCACTTTTGGTTGAGTGTGAGATTATTGGCGTTTCATATGTGCAGCAGTGGCTCATTTGCAGCTTCTGAGATTATAATATGTAAAGATGAGGGATTGTCAGGAGGGGCCGCAGGGCGGTGACAGCAACCTTTCCATTTCTCCCTTTTATCTGCCTCTTCCTCTCTCCTTCCTCTTCAATCTCTCCGCCTGTCTCTCCTCCACTCTGACTTTTCATACTCATTTTCTGTCTCGCCAACCACCAACATCTCTTCCCATTTCATCCATTTCTGGTTACTCTTTTTTCAAAACCCTTATTCCCCTTTACCCTGAGTTGTCTTTTCCTGTCTCTATTCCTTCAATCAAATGTACATTTCCTGCTTTTCTCCTTTAGCTAAATCTCTGATTTGGATGCAGACACTCAGGCCTCATGGCCAGTGTAGATCCGGCTTTAGTGTTGAAGAATGTGGCTAAAAACACATTATAACACAAATAAGAGTGGGGGCTTCAAGAAATAGCAATCATAATGTAGATAGGGGTAAGAACAACCGAACCATAATAGTAGACCCTTACAGCTCATGTTGATTAGTTTATATAAGCAAGACTCCTACCTTTAACCTTTTTTGTTTTGTTATTTTATTTCCCATTGTAAAGCGTCCTTGGGTTTCTTGAAAGGCGCTATAAAAATTATTATTATTATGACTCCTACCTTTAATTCCTTTAAGCTTAAGAAATGGTTATAACATAAAGTAAAAAGGGAGTCAGTCTGCAAAAGTATGCATTTATTACATGATATAGCATTTAGCTGACGCTTTTATCCAAAGCAACTTACAATAAGTGCATTAAACCATAAAGCTTCAAACTAAGGACAGCAAGAACAGTGCTGACATTTACTTCAAACAAGCAATATCACTGTAAGTGCTTTTGCATAAGTAAAACTCCTAAGTGTGTTTTTTATTAGTTAATAGTGAAAGAATCATCAATGTTTTTATGTAAAAAGCATAAATGACGTGTACTAGGTGTTTAGTAGATTTTAGAATTATGATTAATGAAGCAAGAATGAACACAGAGATGTTGAAACCCTTGAATTTATATTGAATAGTATAATTTCATAGTAATTCCTTGTGCATGTGTATGACGGCCATGTTTGTCCCCGTGTACAGTACAGCTTCCGAAGCAGATGGCAAGCTGTTTTTAAGCTGAACCGCCCCAGTCAGACATGATTTGAACAGTCTTTCGTCTGACATTGGCTTCACTCTTTTTCACGCTTTTCCAGTATCATACTTCAATAACATGTGTCTCCTGTCCTTTCCTGCACTTAATGTGTCCGTCTCTCTCCCTCCTGCTCTTTGTTTTCCTTCTCTGTCTTACCTCACCTTTCCAGTCTGTGCTAGTTGTATCGTGGGGATGCAAATCTGAATATGCAAATATTATGGTAAGCACAGGAGCAGGTGTGTCGCAGCAAGGACAGAATCAGGTTAGCCTGGACGCGCTGGCATGCCTTGCATGCAATTCAAATCGGTGTACAACATAGCCCCAAGAGGTCACCACACACGTGGTTCATAGCTTAATGGCTGCATACTAAACTCTTCACCCTGGCATGAGTGGGAAGGACCACCCTTGTCAGTTAGTCAGGGCCGCAGCAGACGAGAAAACTGTGCTTCCCATGGGGGGGTTATATTCATTCATCTTTGTCAGAATTCCACTCGCCCAGACAACTTGTCAAGCATAGCAATGAACTGAATTCAAGAGATGAGAGAAATTGAGGACAAAATGTTTTCGCCGCCGCCTGGGCTGTTAAAAGTAGCAAGAGTTTGGGGGTGTCTTGTTTTTGCAGGCAATGTATCATCTTGGCCAAGACATGGAAGTGCAATCAGAAAGAGAAATTCATTACAACTACAAAGACTCAACTGATGGCCTTCATTATCACTGACTCAGAAGTAACAACAGCATGAATGCCAGTCGCCATAGTCAAGTAAACTTCATTTTATTCTGCTTGGCTCTGCTCAAGTATAGCTAAAAATGTAATCTAACTTTACATAAAAGAGCCCTATTTTCTGTCTTCCCTTTCCTGTAGTGTGTAATGTAGGTTTGTGTGCATGTAAATGGTCGTCAAAGGCTAAACGTTCCCTCCAGAAGGTGTTCCTCTCCCACACGTCCCCTCTGCCTGAAATGCCTCAAATCCATTGGCTAGCGCTTCAACACATTGTAGCTGATAGGCTAAAGGGCGGGACATCTCTAACCGGTTGGCCAATCAAAACAGAGCCGGCCAGCTAACCAATCAGAGCAGACTGGGCTCTGGTTTCAGACAGAGGGTGAAAAGAGGTGCAACAGCACAGGCAGTAAGAGAAAAATAGAGAGCTTTT